GAGAAGGGATGCAAAAAATTGACACACTTCGACAGACTTAATGAAGCCACCAGGTCGGCAAGATAAGTTGAACTAATTCATCACATCACTCAAGTCGCTAACTTAAAAAATGGGCAGAAAAACTACTCGAGAGCATTGGGGAATTGGGCAAAGATAAGAAGTAGGCAGGAGAGAGAAAGGTTCAGAGATAAAAGTATGATGGATAGAGGGGTACGGTGGACTGGACAACATTCTACTCGGATTCGTCAAAGTGACTTTGGAATCGCAGACTCCGCCTATGATTCGGACTTGTCTCTCCAAGATAAGTCTGTCTTGATACTATGCCTGTGTCAGTCAGCCTGTACTTAGAGGTGTGTGCTTCTGTATATAAATATATATATGTATATATACATATATATATATTATACAATACTATACAATACTACATATATATATATATAGTTATATTTGTATTTATTTATGCGTACGTGCATGTGTGTGTGGTTTCCTGACTATGCTTGTCGGGACAGATTCGTGCGGACAAATGCACATTCTGTCACTTTGTGCCCCATTCTATCACTTTTAAGGCATGTACATGAATACCCTAGAGCTCACAATTGCACATACACCGGCCTGTAGTGATGCGTCCAGAAGGGCAGGAGCAAGGAGACGCTGAGACGCCTCAGAAAAATGGCGAGTGGTTGGAAGGCCATCTTGACAGTTGCATAATGAGTAGAAAAGCCTGAAGTGAAGCGAGAGCTTTTGAAGGGAAAGTAGACGCATCCCGTCTGGAGGATGTGCTCAAGCTGGAGGCCGAGTTGATTTGTGCCAAAATGGAGGAAACAGTTGTGCAATGGCTGAATCGGAAAAATAGCCAAAAGCTCAATTCAGATGCTGCTGACAGGATTTCGTTGATGAAATTCTGCTTCAAAACCGCCTTACACCCGACCATATAATGCTGAATCTTATATGGCGTGGACTTTTGCCTCGAGCAAGAATCACTACTGAAATACTGTTAGTAGTCTGCTGCTGCATAATAGCAATAATTAAGTTGTCGCTATGCTAACCACGATGGTGTGGCCTCCTGTTTGGACGCAGTTTCCTTTAGATGTATAGTGTTGGTTCGACCTAGTTTTCCCAACTTGGTCTAAGAGTTGGGAAGACCTCTGTCGAAAAATATTCGTGATTTTTAGCTTCGGACCTGTGACTTGGTGCATCACCGTCAGCACAGTAACAACTTATCAAAGTGACCACTTTTCTGTTCAACCGCAGTAGCATCACTCCTCGCCCCTATTTTTCGTTCTACCATCTAATGCTGCCTTTCATATCATCCATCCACCTATTCACACAATTATGTGGTCATATGGGCCATATGAAGTCGAGTTGATAGAAGGAGATGCAGGTAGAATGACGGGATTTAGTCGTCGTCTCCTGGTGATGTCAACCTACGAATCGGTTCTTCATGCTCTTTCATACGAAATGAAGGTCTCCTCGACAATCGAATAATTCTGCTGGTGATCCAAAAGGCGAGTGGTGTCCATGGAATTGTGAATCGCTGGCATACCTACTCTGAGGCAAATATTGAGCTCAGCCTGCCAATGGAGACAGGCCAGTCTACCTTCTTCCGTAAGTTCTCAAAACAAGCGTGGAGATGGTCATACGGAATGGGAACAGCAGCCAAACAGTTGGCCGTCCAACAAACCGACTGACAGACACGCAGACTGGGTCTGATTTTGACTGTACAGTCGTTGAATAATGCAGTATGGACCCGTTTACACAGCAATGCCTAAGTTGGCCCATAGAGCAAGACGATCTCTTATCATCATTTCTTCATCCTCTTCCTCATCATCATTATCGTCATCATTATAATTTTCTTCCTCTTATTATTCTTCTTTTCCCGATTCCTTTGCCACCAATTTCACCAATAACTCATCCTGCGTAAGAACGTATCTGTCTTTGACTTTTCAACTCAGCTATCGAGACTGCCTCTTTTTGACTCCATCACTTCTGTCAGCTTTGGCTTAGGAGTCTGGCTCTTGTGGGATGGGAAGCCTGAGAACAGCGCTCAAGGCCGGAGATTGGCGTGCTTTTCGGTACGGAATGGAGGTCTGACCCTTGTCGGAGCCGACTTTAGTCAGACACGAAGTTATGGGCAACAGACGAGGCACGGCCTATGCTGAACATGAATATTTCAGGAGGCCACGTTGATCAACCGTAGAAATGAGCAGCCCAAAATGGTGGAGAAGCACGTGGCCAGGCCGGGCGGTATCTCGTAGCTGGGGTCGTGCACATGCTTAAAGAGTAGAAAAAGAGCTTGATGACAAGAAGGACAGACCAACAGCTGAACACCGAGAGGGAGAGAGGTAAGGATAGAGGTAGAGAAAAGAGAGAAGGGGGCGAATTTTTTACTATACTCAAGATTTTGAGAATTTCTGATCCATAGATCGGAATCTGGTATCTCTCCTCACCATCAAACTCATTTACGGAGTTTTATCAGCCATAATAGCACCATCATCTCACCACAAAAAAGGAGATCCCCATAACGTGCTTCGTCTCTACACTCTGAAGAAATAATTGGTAGGAATGAATTCTAAAATTGGTGTTCTTGAAAACTGAAGGAGGATTCCCATGGAGTGAAGACTATTTGAGTACAGAGAAAAAGAGAAAGTACAGATGGAGAGATGGAGAGAAGAGAAAAAGAGAGATTGTGAAAGAGCGCGAGTAGAGTGAGAAGGAAAAATAAAAAGGTGGATGTAGGGAGAGAGAGGGAGTAATTTAAAATCTACTAAGAAGACTACGATTTTCTGACCTACAGATCATCATAAAACTCATTTAGGGAATTTTATCAGACATGCTCTCTCGTCATAATCGCAGCATCATCTCACCACAGAAAAGGAGATCCCCATAATGTGATTCGTCTCTACACTCTGAAGGAATAATTGGTGGGAAAGAATTTAACAATTGGTGTTATCGAAAACTGAAGGAGGATTCCCATGGAGTGAAGACTATTTGAGTACAGAGAAAAAGAGAGAGTACAGATGGAGACATGGAGAGAAGAGAGAAAGAGAGATTGTGAGAGAAGGTAAGTAGAGAGAGGTGGATATATGGAGAGAGAGGGAATAATTCAGAAATCTAATCAGGAGACCAAGACTTTCTGACCTACAGATCATCATAAAACACATTTACGGAATTTTATCAGACATGTTTTCCCGCCATAATCGCACCATCATCTCATCACGGAAATGTAGATCTCCATCGTGTGATTCGTCTTTTCAGCCCGAAGAAATAGTTGGTGGGAGGGAATTCAGAAATTGATATTACCAAAATCCGAAGCAGGAATACCTGCCGTGAAGGGAAGACTGTTCAATTGTGAAAAGAATTCGTCTGCAACTCTGATTCGGTGAGCTGAAGACCTCTTGTTACAATCGGTTTTTGGCGAGTCAAATTCACGAATGTCTCTCAGCTAACTTTTTCTCCAGAAGGAATGCTGAGTTACACAATGACGATTCCTATTTCCGTGCTTAGACACTAGTCTGCTTCTTGCCCAAGAACATGCCTGATGAAACTTCGAAAATGAAGTTGATGGTGACAAAAGAAGCCAGCTACCCCTCCGCTGGTCACAAGGAATCAGACCCCTGAGCGGAGGTGAAAAGCGACTCTCTTTCGCTCTCTCCCTCTCTACTTATCTTCATCTCTCCCCATCCTCCACCAATCTTTACTCCATGGCATTCCTCACTCGGTTTACGGTGAAGCAAATTCAAAAATTCTTTCTGGCCAAATTTTCCTAAGAACTGAAAGTTGATTCTCCGAAACCAAGCTTTTCATCACATCAAGGAGTCCTCATTGCCTTGGATGTGAGTAAATTGCCGTATTCTTCGGTGCGAAGAAGCAAACGGACAATTTTTTGCCCACAACAAACTCACATTTATGGAGATAGGATAAGTGA